AGTGGCCCTGGACTTCTCTGGTGTGGGGGTTGCTGTGGACAGGCCAGTGGACACAGTCACCCAGAGATGAGTATGCCGAGCAGACCCACCTGGTCCCTGCAGGCCATCTGCCAGCATAGCCACCCCCCATGCTTGCCTTGGCCTAGAGTGGCAGCCAGTGAGGAAGGGCCCCTCTGCCCGCCATGTGCAAGGCCTCGCTATCTGATATGTGCTCCATGGGGCAGAACACAGTCTGACACCACTGTGGGATTTCCTTGAAGGCCCCTGATGACCTTCCTCAGTATCCTGAGGTGGGTGAAGAAGCTGGGTGACTAGTGAATTGCTTGAACATGGCTTTGGCTTTGCAGGCCTCTGACCTGACGCTCAGGTACCACGCCTGGGGCTGTACAAGGCCTGCACCCAGGGGCCAGCCACAGCGCCTCTCCAGGCCCCTCAGCACAGCAGATCCTGCCTCCAGCCACCCTCAGGGTTGCCCAGCCTCCTTCCCTCCTGGCCACTGAGAGCACTGGCCAGTGTTGTGCCTGTTGGTCTGCATTTCTGACCTGAGGTGAGGCCGGCCCTCTTCCCGGGAGTCCTCGTACCTCTCTTGGGGGCTTTCTGGTGAGGGGTGGGCATCTTCAGGAGGTTTGCGAGTGTAAGATATGGATGTCACTGAAGTATAAACGGGTACTCGGTTTCTGTAGCCACACCATGGCGCGCATCTTCTTCCAGTGTGTGGTGTGGTTTTTTGTCTCTTTGTGGTATGATTTAAAGAACAAAAGTTCCTAACTTTAATGGATGTAGCTTTATCAGTCTTTTCCTTTGCAGTTTGCACCCTTAGTATCTGGTACAAGGAAACCTTCTGTACACCAACGCATGCTAAATTGCCTTCTGTCTTTAGGACTAGGATCTTATTTTTTGAGATACTGGGAATTGAACCCAGGGCCTCTCTACACTAGGCAAGCCTCTGTCCCGGGCCACACCCCAGGGCAGGGCTGGGACTTGGAATCCTCTGGAACTGGGTTTGGCCGGGATGCGAGGCAGAGCCCAGCCGCACTTGGCACAGTGCCCTGCTGCAGGCAGCCGTGCTCCCAGCAGTCCTCGTGCAGCCTGCCAGTCCAGCCCTTGTATGAGTGCAGGGTGCCTCCAGCTCCCTTCTCCTCACGGCTGGCTGTGCCTGAGCCAGTACCACACTTAAGTTATCTGAGCTTCGTGACTCAGTGGTGGAGTGCTTGACTAGCATGTGCAAGGCCCTGGGTTCTATCCCCAGGAATGCAAAAAATTAAAAATAATTCATAATAAAGCAAGTTCCTTCACCTCACTGATTTCCTTTAGGGAGGTTTTCATGGTTCTTACCTTTTATTCTTCCAAACATGTATTTTAACCTCTTTTTTTTTTTTTTTTTTTCCAGTGCTAGAGATTGAGCCCAGGGTCTCACGCATGCTAGGCAAAAGAATATTTTAAATCCGCTTTATTAAGTTAAAAAAAAAAATACTTTGGCCAAGTGTGTAGCACACGCCTATAATCCCAGTGACTCGGAAGGCTGAGGCAGGAGGATCTCAAATTCAAGGCCAGCCTGGGCAACTTTGAGACCCTGTCTCAAACTAAAAATAACAAGTCTGGTGCAGTTCCCTGGGGTTCAATCCCCAGTACCAAGAACACAGAAAGGCCCCTTTGGGGTTCTAACAGGCGTCGTCTGGACCCTGTGGTAGAGGTGGTGATAGCTGCTGCTGCCTACGCCACAGTGAGCCTTGTGGACAGGAGGGTGGCACCCATCCTCCCTGTGCAGGCCTCTCTTGGATGTCTAGAGTTCTTGTTTTCTGATAGGTGTACCTCTGGCATGTTGTTTCGTGGGGGGGGGGGGGGTTGGTACTGGCGGTTGAATAGGGCTTCACAGATGCTAAGTGACTGCTCTGTCACTGAGCTCAATCCCTTTTTATTTTATTTTGAGGCAAGTTCTCACTAAGTTGCGGAGGCTGACCTTGAACATGGGATCCTCCTGCCTCAGCCTCCTTAGTAACTGGGATTACAAGCTGGGCTGCCATGCCCAGCTTCTTATTTCTTTTTCTTTTTTTAATATTTATTTTTCAGTTGTAGTTGGACACAGTACCTTTATTTATTTATTTATTTATTTATTTATTTCTGTGTGGTGCTGAGGATCGAACCCAGGACCTCACACATGCTGGACGAGTGCTCTACCACTGAGCCACAGCCACAGCCTGTATTCTTTTGAGTCCAAATTCATTTTCTTGCCTGGTGCACTGGCTCGGATCCAGGACATGTGGATTGGTGGCCATGGGGCTTCTGGCCTTTCCCATTGACAGTGATGCTTTATGGAAGGCTGTCTAGAGTATGCTAAGGAGTCCCCTTCCACCACTAATTAGCTAAGTGTTCCTTTTTTCAACTTTGAATCAAGGCTGAATTTTACTAAATGCTGTTTTCCTATTTACTGAGGTGTTCATATGACTCTTCCCTTTGAGCCTATATTAATCTCTGTTTATTGATTTTTCTTTTTCTTTTTGTCACTCTGTTTTTGTGCACTGACTTTCTGGTGTTGAGCCAGCCTTGCATTCCACCCGATCCCGGCAGATCAGTGTCTCCATATGTTACAGACCATCTCTGGCTTGGGGAGGCGGGGTGCTCTGGCACCCTTTTTTGTAAGGTTGCCCCAAGTGGACTTTTCTCATATGGTCCTGGTCAGGTTTTGGTTTCAAGACTTTTCTGGCCTCATAAGCAAACAGTTTTTTTTTTCTGTTTTCCCATTCTATGAGTCAGTTTATGAAAGATCAGAATTATGTGCCTCATAAATATGTTAGAACTCTGGGATACAGCTTTCTTTGCTTCTCAACTACTGATGGAGATTCTGTTATGGTTGTAAGAAGACGCAGGTTTGAGTGTTCTTCCTGTTGGTCTGTCTGGAGCTGGATGTGCCCGTCTGTCCCCCGAGGTGCTGGCCTGCGGTCTGTCCTCCTGCTCCCCGCTTCTCGTCTCACCTGACATGCCCCTGGCCATCAGGGTTTCCCAGGAGCAGCCTGGTGCAGCCTGGGTCTGATTTCTGCCCAGGTCCGCTGCTTCCCTATAACGTCAGCACCCATGTGTGAGGCTCTGGTTGCCCCACTGGGTGCCGAGTGTTATCGGCCCCGCACTCCTAGTTGGATTAATTATTCAATGATAGTTTCCATACTGCAGGTCTTGCCAGCTGGGGGCGGGGGGTGGGGCGGTGGTCAGCTGGCTGTGCTTGCCCTTGCCCTCGTGCTCCTAGGGGCTCTTCCTCCTTATACTTCTCCTCATGGCTCTCGGGTGGCCTGGGGAATGTCTTTACCCTCCACCTTAGAGTTCTGGTTGTCTTCAGAGCAGCACTGTCTGGTGGCAACACGTGAGCCACATGGGTAGTTTGAGCTGGAGGGTGCAGCTCCATGGCAGGGGCTTGCCCAGCATGAGCAAGGCCCCGGGTTCATCCCCAGCACCACATAAATAAGTGAAAAAAGGAAAACAATAGATGAGATATACTTTATTAAGCACAGCATATCACAACGTGTAACTAAGGAAAAAAATACAATTTTGGTATTTTACCTTCTTGTTTTTCTGTTGGGTCTAAACTCCGAAGTCTGGCCTCCACACAGGCTGTGTCTCGGGCCCAGAGCCACCTTGTGGAGCTGGACCCACTCTGTCCAGCACCCTGTCCACTCCTGCGCCTCTGTCATCTGCTGTGGAGCCCTGGTGACATCCCTAAGGCACTTGCTTGCCAGCACGGGCAAGCACCTCTGCTCACAGGGCCTGGGCTCATGTGCGTCCTGCCGGTGGGCCTCTTCCTGCCTGCCTGGGCTCTGGCAGTGCTGTCCCCTTCTCCTCTGCCTGCCACACTGCACTGGGTTTCAGGGCCCTGTGTCACCGGCCAGGCCCGGCACAGAGGGGACTTGACTCTGTGGGGATGAGTGAGTGAACTGGGAGCTCTTGCCCAAGCCTGCCCTCTCTGTGGCGGGGTAGGTGGCCACGGGGCAAGATGGGCATGGGGCAGGGGCAAGGCGTCTGCCTGGCCAGCCCGCTCACTGCAGCCGGCCCCTCGTGCTCCACGCGCCGTCCCCCATTAGGCCCTCAATCCTGGGCGCTGGAAGCAGGGCCAGGCTGGTTCTGTGGGGCCTGAGATGAGAAGCTTCAAGGTGGGATCTGCGCTGGGGCCCTGGCCTGGTGTTGAGTTGGACTCTGTGGGCTCTCTAGGTTCTGTGGGGTCTAAGTTCAAGGTGGAGCGGCCTGTCACCAGTCTAGGGGAGACACAGTAGGGGTGCTGCAGGCCAGGTGGACTGTGGCTCCCTCCTCCAAGTTGTGCCTATCTGAGCCAGCTGCAGCAGGGTGGGGGGACACAGTGGGGAGACCTTGTCCCTAATAAAACCTTGGACTCAGGTGGGAGGTAGGAGTGAGGGGCCAGGAAGGAAGGCCCTGAGTGCCCGTCCCCATCCTGGGGCCGCTCAGTAGGGTGCAACCAAGGCTTCTCGCCTCCCTGTGGCCTGGTGACAGAGCTGAGGCCCAGTGGCTGCCTGGAGCACCTGCCTGCTGGCGCCCCTTCTCCTCTGGGTATAATTAGCCCCACGACAGGTGCTGTGGATCGAGTGCCCAACCCAGCCCTGACCCAGTGCTGCCCGGCCTTAGCCGACCTGCCGCACCCCATGGCCCGGGCTCCAGCCTGAACCCTGCCTGGCAAGGTCCCCTGAGGCCTCAAGCCCCACCTGCCTTCCTCTGGGCTTTCTCCACACCCACCAGGATGGACAGGCTGTCAAGTGGGGGCGGTAGACAGGCAGAGCCCTGGACAGTGGCCTGGCCTCAGGCTCTGGGAGTCCTCAGGATGGCCGGTCCCTCAGGCCATGTCCAGGGGCCCAGGCGAGCCACTTGGCCTGGTGACCTCATCCTTCCAGTGAGACACCTCCAGCCCGAGACCCAGGGGGCACCGTGCAGCTGCAGGAACGTCTCCCAGTGCCATGCACGGCGTCCGCGCAGCACACCCAGCTGTGTCCCTTCTCCCCCAGTGCAAGAAGAAGCACACACTGCTGTGCCCAGACTTTGCCCGTAGGGGTGCATGTCCCCGGGGCACCCAGTGCCAGCTGCTCCATCGTAACCAGAAGCGCCACGGCCGGCGGGCAGCTACGCCCCCCACCCCAGGGCCCAGCGAAACAACTCTCAGGAGCAGAATGTCAGCTGGCCACGGACCCAGGTGATGGGGTGGTGGGTGCTGCGTTGTTTGTGACAGAGGTGGCCCAACCCTCCCCTGGGGACATGGACCCTCTGGGGTGAGTCCCCACCCAGTAACTTCTTGTAACTGCAGATCCAAAAACAAATGTCCGTCGGAGGCAGGAAATGGAGTGGAGGTCCCTGAGCTTCAGACCCAAGGGTGTCCCGCCAATGGAGGGAGGTGGGGGCTTTCAGAAACCCACTCCCCCGAAGAGGGGATGAAGCTGGGCTCCCAGGAGGGGCTTGTGGAATGGGGAGCCCCCTGTAGGTGAGGAAACTGGCTGCAGAAAGTGAGTTTCCCACTTCTAGCCGACCCCAGCTGCCTCAGCCAGAGGCCCTGAGACCAGCCTGTCCTTGGGGCCAAGGGTCAAGCTGGGACCTGGATGGAGACACCTGTGGCTGCTGTGACAGGAAGTGGGGGCAGGGGCCAGAAGACCTGTCACTGGGATGGTTCCCCACAGGAGATTGCTAGTGCCCTCGGAGCCCCTGAGTGCCAGGCAGCTGCCCACCTTTACCGCTGCTCCCTCCCTTTCCTACAGGAAGCCCTCGGCTACCCAGCGCCCCACCAGACAGACGCCCAGCTCCCCCACCTCCAGGGCTGCAGTCCCACCCTCCCCCTCCCCCTCCCCCTCCCCCTCCCCACAGGCTTTGGCCTCAGCCTGGCCCTTGTCATCAAAGGCTGCCTCCTCCTCCCCCTCCACCCCCTCCGCCCCCTCCTCTCCACCCCCTACTTTGGACCAGGAGGAGCCATCTCTCCAAGAGAGAGCCACCTCATCCAGGACTGGCTCGGGTAGCCTCTGCAAGCTGCCGTCCTTCATCTCCCTGCAGTCCTCGCCAAGCCCAGGAGGCCATACCGGGGTCCGGGCTCCAAGAGGCCCCCTCACCAAGGACTCAGGTAGGCAGCCTGGCTGTTTTTGAACCCGGCTGGTGCCACCAGGGGTCATTTTAAATATGCACTTCGACCCCACCAAGGGGGTCTCCAGGTCGGGGCTGGTGAGTCAGTGGATGCCCTGTATGCCGCTGCTGGCAAGGGGCGGGGCCAGTGCAGGACAGGCGCGTCAGTGGCCACCATGCAGACCACCCCAGCCAAGGGCTGATTTAATTAGAAAGCACCCATTTTCTGTTAATTTGTTCTGGAAGATCTCCGCACACTCCTGGAGAGAACAGATGTTCCCTCTCCCCAATGAGCATTTGGGGCTTGGTAAATGGCTCCACTCAGCCTTGTTTAGGAGAGAAAAGAGGATTTTATGGCTGCAAACGACCCTTTCTGTAAACATTTTACAGCTCTCTGCGCGTTTGAGTGACGATAAACCCCACGCAGCTCGGCGGGCTGCAAATTTGCGACCATACGGCTATCATTTTATTGTCATATTTCACGGTCGTAACGTTAATGGAAGATGCTTGCTGCAGGCTTCTCTAACAGCCCCGCTGAGCACACTCGAGCCCTGCGTGGAGGGGCTGCCTCCTGGCCCCGTCCTCCTGGTGGAGCGCAGAGACACAGCCGGGCCTCCTCCCAGCCCGACCAGGAGGATCACCAGCTCCTCCCATCCGGGTGGCCCCTCAGCAGGGAGCAGCTGGGGGCCCTGAGGCAGCCATCTCTTTATGTTTTTTTTTAAAGGTCAGGAACCCAACAGCCTGTCCCAGGACCAGAGGAGGCATGGGGTGCTGGAGGCCCTGCATGTAGCCTGGGTGGTCAGGAGAAAGACTTCAAGGCCATGCAGGATTTGGCCAAGAGGGCAGCGTGAGGGGCAGGTGTAGTCAGGTCTGGGGCAGTCTAGCAGGAAGCCCCCGTGGAGGGGCAGGCCAGTGGCATCTAGGCCTGCTGCTGCTGCTGGCCTGGCACCCCGCTCCGGTTCAGCTGAGGAGGGACGTCAGAAGGGACCTTGCAGGGGCACGTGGGTGTCATGCCTGTGGGCAGCAGTAGCAGTCCACAGGCTGCTGGTACCCCTGAGAGGGTCCCTGACAGACCTGGAACATTGGTGGGAGGGAGGAGAGGCTGATGCCCAGTGAGCATATACCTGCCTGGGATGTGCCCCTCCCTCCTCAGGCCCCTGCCCTGGAACCGTATCCTTCCCACCCATCCTGTTAGGGCCTTGCCCAACTCACCCTGTGGATTCTCGGCTCAGCCCCTGCCCCTGCCCAGCCCCTGCTGGCACCAGCCCAGCTCTTCACGGGGAAGGCGTTGTGTGCCTGCGCGTGTGTGCGTCTGGCAGCCTTCTTCCCAGGTGTGAGCAGTGTGTGCCCTTGCGTTTCTGTGCGCCTGGTATTTATAGCTCAGCCTGCAGAGTATTGTGGCTCCCGCCTGTGAGCTAGCCACTGTGGAGGGACTGCCCAAGCCCAGGAAGGCCCCTGGACCTGCAGAGACCCAAAGACTCCTTCCCATCTTGATCCCTCAGGCAGAGGCTTGCCAGGGCTCTGCAGCAGCAGGCAGGCAGTGGGCAGGGACTGGGAGGCGGTGGCCTGGTCTTTAAAACGCTGTTGGGCAGGCCTGGGCTCATGAGGCCTCCCCTCTGCTGAGCCCTAACCAGAAATTTGGGGGATGGATGTGGTGGTCCCTCCTGGCCGGGGTTACCTAGCACCTGACCTTTGCCCTCTCTATGCAGGGAAGCCACTACACATCAAACCGCGTCTGTGAGGACCCCAGGGACCAGCCCACACCTACCTCAGACCTTCACCCCTGGAGAGGATAGAGGCTCTGTCCATCACTCTGCCCCCGCAGAGGAGCCACCTGCCACCAAGTCCCCCAGGGACCGCAGGGGCGCCACTCTGCCTGCCTGGCTCTCTGCCTTCTGCAGCCTGTGCCCCCAGGCCTTGTCTTCCTCCTTGGGGCCAGCCCTGTGCCGCAGACAACCTGCCCTACCCTCCCTGCCCCTGGGCCTCAGTCCCGCACCCAGGACTTGCCCCCCACCCCCTGCCCCTTGGGGTGCTGTGTGGGCTTTACCCCCAGGCCTGTACCTCCCTGTGGGTAGGGCAGCAGCCCTGCGATGTATGTCCCTTGCCCTTCCCACCCGGGACCCCTGCCAGGGGAAGAGGCCATTGGCCAGGCCCCCCAGCAGGCATTTTATGTTCAGCAATAAAGGTTCTGTCCTGTGTCGTTGGCTCATCCTGACTACCCCATGCCCACAGGGCCCTGGCTCTGAGGGAGATGGGCAACTAGAAAGCAGAGACCCCAGGTGGCCGAGAGGGTTGGAGGCAATCTCTCTCTGGGTGCCCAGGTCAGCACAGCTTGGGGTCAGGAGGGGCACTCTGGGGACATGGTTGGGAAAGGCTAGAGTCAAGGCAGGAGCAGAAGGAGGCCCAACCACCCAGAGAGGACTCAGTACAGGGTGAGGCTGGAGGGCACAGGGCTGTGGGGGGTATCTACCCTGCAGACTCTCCCAGAGCACCCCCCCCCCCAGGGAGGCAGCTCAACAGTCCTGGGGTGATCATCCAGGACCTCAGACTTCTGCATAGGCCCCTCAACCTCTGACCACACCATGTCCACCAGACCTCTGCCCATGAAGTGGGCATCATGACACCAGCCTCAAAGGGGGCCAGGACCAAGGCTGACTGGTCCCTGTCCCCACCACGTGGGCCCTCTGCAGCTGTATCTGACAGGATAGCAGATGCTGGAACCTGGACTTGGCAGGAAGGACAGCCCCAGCCCCAGTCCCAGCCCCGTCCCAGCCGTGGCTGAAGAGAGCCCCTGCTGCTGACCTCTGGAGCCTGAGCCAAGAGGGCCTCCCAGTGGCCTCCAGATATACCTGGGGGCAATTGTTTGCAAGGCCCGTGTCCATGCCTGACCACACACCACCCCTGGCCACCTTGCTAGGGTCCTTTCATGCCCACATGGCTTCATGGGGTGAGCAGATTGTTAGGTGGCTGCCTTTGAGCCTGCCTGCCTTGGCGGGCAGGGTCCAGGCTGGGGGCTAGCAAGGGACTGCAGGGTTGGGGCCTGCACAGCAGCAGCAGGCTCTGGCAACCAGGGCCAGACGGCCAGGGCATAGAGCCGCTTCCCGGGACAGTCTGGACGGACCCAGGAGATGGCAGAGGCGAGGGCACCCTCAGGCCATCAGAAGTGCTACCCCTAACAGCACTGGTGGCTCTGGTCCCAGGTGGCCAGCCTGCAGGGCTGCCTCACCTGCTCCCACAGGCTCCCCACGGGGAGCAGGCCTTTGACAGCTTGCAGTCATCCCTGTCTCCCTGGGCCGAGGGGACACAGGTCTGGCCAGCCAGACGGAGAGCTGTCGTGGTTTGCGCACACCACCAGCAAAGTACACTCAGGCTGGCGTTGCAGGTCAGACTCCCTGGAAACTTCTGGCTTCACAGGTGGTCACAGGTGGACATGTGGGCACATTCCCAATCCTCGTGGTCATGCCCCCAGTGGGTCTCCACTGCAGTTGGGTCCTAGCAGCCCAGGAGACAGCCATATGGGCAACCATCACCCATTTGCCTGCCAGGAACCACAGGGAGACCCACCCCACAGGTCTGCTGTTGTAGCCCCAGTTCAACAAGCGCCGGACAGCCACACGGCCCACACAGGACCTGGGCATCACAAGGAGGTGGTGAGGTATGGTGCTGGCTTAGGCCCACTGCCCCTGCCCCTGGTGCTATCCACTGCCTGCAGCTGCTGGTTGAGGCCCAGGAAGATGTGGCACTGCCCTCCGGGAGTCTGCATTGAGTCCTGGTTCTCCACTGCTCTGGGATGGCATTGGGGGTCAGTGTAGCCGCGGGCCCTGCCTGATTACAGCCCCTGCGCTTCTTCCAAGCCCAGTGTGCCCATTGGTCACCCTGGGCACATGTCAATCATCAGGTGATAGAGACTGACCAAAGGACCCTGGAGGCCACTTGTCCCTGGCTCCATAGTGACCATGACTTTCATACTGCTTGGGGCCAGCAGAGACCTGGAGGCAGGTGGGGTCAGCCAAGCACCCACCCAGACTGGGGGTAGTAAAAATGACATTTAGGAGGGACCTGGGGCCAACTCTCCTAAGTCTCCCTTGGGTCTCTAGAGCAGGTCCCCATTCCGAGCCTCCTAGGACAGCTGAGGGCTGAGGGCTCCTGAGGCTGAGGCAGGGATACCTGCTGGTAGTACCAAAGCAGAGATGCGGGGGACATGGGACATAGGCTGCCTTATGTCGGGTGGGCAGCCAGCCTGTGGCCTATCTTCACACAGGCTTCCCTTCCAGTCCCAAGGAGGAACACAGGCAGACCCAGGTCCACACAAGCAGTAGCAGGTTGGTGGCCTGGGAACCAGCTGGATAGGGACCCTGCAGCAGAAACATGTGGGACCCCAAGGCTATAAGTGACCTGGGCGGTCCTCAGACTGCTGGCAGGGCGGGACAAGGCTCCATGCAGGGCTCCACTGTCCAGCCCCCAGCCAGGTGTCTTCCCACCGCAGCTGAGAGGAGGCCCTGGCTGTGGCATCCTCTCCAGGGAACTTCAGGGACGCCTCGAGGTGGTGGGGCAGAGTCAACTGGTAGAGGGAAGTGGGCCTGGGGGTATAGGCAAAATGTGACCCCCAGGTGTGGCTCTGCCGCCCCCCTGTGCCTGGAAGAGGTGGACTCACCTGGGGCTGGGAGGAGCCAGGAAGGATGTCCCCCCGGCCAGTTGGAGCCCCTTTCTGTTTCTGCACTGCCCTGGTTGGTCTTGCTGCTCCCTACCCGGTGTTCCCCAGGGCAGAGGGCACTTGTGTCACTTGGTGCAGCACTCTGTCCCCAGGAGGGTGGGAAGCGTGGATATGTTCATGCCTGGGTGCATACCCCAGGAAGGTTCCTGGCATGCAACAGGTACCCCGTAAGTGCTGGGGCAGGACAAGGAGGCTGCCAGGCGGGGAGCAGCTGAGGCCACTTCCAGGAGGCCGGTCTTTGTGAGCTGGCTCTCTCGGCCCTGCCCCGAGGCCCCGAGGCCCCGCAGCCCCAGCCCCAGCCCCAGCGTTTGCAGTGATCGCTCCTCACAGCCCTGGCTTGGGGTAACCAGGCACTCACCACCTGTCCAAGAGCTGCGTTCCCATGACAGGAACGGAACCTGGGCAGCCTCTGGGCACCATGGGCCTGTCCAGAGCACTTCCTGAGGGCACCGCAGTGGCTTTGACAAGCTCCACCTGCCCTGCCTGGGATCAAGCAGACCAGTCCTGCACACGACCCCCTTCCCTCTGCCAGGCCAGCCTACTACCCACCCAGAGCCTCCGTGGTCCACCAGTCCCCAGGCCTGCTGCCACAACTCCAGCCTCTTTTGTTATTTGATCTAGATGTGTTGGTTCCTGTTGTGACACTAGGGATTGAGCCCAGGGGCACTTTACCACTGAGCCACATCCCAGTCCTTTTTGTTTTTTATTTTGAGAGGGCCTCACTTAATTGTCCAGGCTGACCTTGAACTTGTGATCCTCCAGCCTCAGCTTCCAGAGTCACTGGGATTATAGGTGTGGCCACTGCACCTGATGTCGGTAGCTGCCACCATCCAGATCCCGTTCCAGTTGGCCCCTCCCAGAAACAGGCTCCCTCCCCTCCCGGAAGGGCTGGCCACCCCTTTATCTGCTCCCGTCTAGGAGAGGACTCTCAGTACTCCGCACCTTCTCACTCTGAAGCCAACCTTCACCTTATGGGGGAGACTGGCCTTAAGGTGGCCCCGTGCCCCTGCCTGCTGGGGTTCACACCTGTCGTGCTATTTTAGTCAACTGTGACCAAAAAAACCTGATAAGAACAATGAGAGGAGAAAAGGGTTATTTGGGGGCTCACAGTTTCGGAGGTCTCAGTTCATAGACAGTGGACTCCATTCTTTGGGGCCTGAGGTGAGGCAGAATATCATGGTGGAAGACTGTGACAGAGGGACTAGCTGGGGACAGGGCACTCGGAAACAGAGACTAAACTCAGGTCACAAAATACAAACCACAAAGGCACACCCACCTGCCGCACTCACCGGCGGCGCGTCCCTGTTGGGCTTCTTGCACTGAGCAGGCTGAGGCTCACCCCAGCACCTTTCACCTCCAGACAAGCTTGGGGGGACACCTCATATCCAGACCATCACAGGTGCCCTCTCCTGGGGCAGCACCTGTGGCCTGCTATTCACCAATAGTCCATGCCAAGGCGGAGGGAGGTCTGGGTTGGGTTTGTCACTGTCAGTCACCATTGGACCTAAGACCAGTGGCGCAGCCCCTGCTGGCCTGGGGAAGCCAGAGACCGTGGTGGGAGCCCCGTGTGGCAAGGAGCTCAGGCAGCCTCCAGCCGCCAGCCAGCAAGGAATGGTGTTTTCTGCAGCCAGACTGTGCTGGGGAGGACCCTTGGTCTTAGCTGTTTTGCTGCTGTGACTAAAGGACAACTACAGAGGAGGAAAGTTTACTTGAGGGCTCACAGCTTCAGGCCGTAGTCCATAGGAGGCTGCTGCATTCCTTGGGGCACCAGGCAAGGCAGAACTGGTGGCCGGAGAGTGTGGCAGAGCAAAGCAGCTCACATGATCAGGAAGCAGAGAGGCTCCACTCTCAAGATAAAAAAAAATACAGGGCTGGGGACACAGCTCAGTTGGTAGAGTGCTTACGTCACATGCACAAGGCCCTGGGTTCAATCCCCAGCACCACCAAAAAAGAAAAAAAAAAAATATATATATATATATATATATATATATATATATATATATATATATATATAATATATGTCCCATAGCCACGTCCCAATGCTCACATCCTCCACCCACACTCACTGTCACTTCACTGACCACTCCATAGATCCCTATCAGGAGTTAAGACTCTTACAACCCACTCATTTCTCCTCTGAACATCTTGCGTTGTCTCACATGTGAGCTTTTAGGGAGGCACCTCATGTCCAAACCATAATACCCTTCCCTGACCCAGAAAGCGTGTGGTGAGTCGTGCCCGAGCAGTGGGAAACTATTTACTAAGTTACCTGGGAGGCTCATTTCTGTCCTCTGAAGCCTGCCCTGGCAGCTGCATTTTCCAAGCGTGTCCCCGTAAGGTTTGGGGGTGGCTTCAGATGCACAGCCTTTCTCTCTGGGATGCTTCTGAGGGGAGCCAGCCAACATGCTGAGTGAAAGGCCCCAGGCACAGGCTAACAGTGTGGGGACACTCTTCCAGCCCCACCCGCCAGGCCCCTGTGGGAAG